TATCATACAAATAACAAATAAATAAACAGAAAACTACCTTTTCTCTGTCTATTGGTGTTTCGTCACCGTGCCGGATATTAGATACCATCGAGTCCAAACTTTTTTTGCCGGGGTAGTTTAGACACAGTGAAGAATGTCAATGGTCATATAACCCGATATAAACATAAATATAGATATAAATAGATAGCGAACTCGTGCAATTGGATTTATAGGTCTGTTTGATTTCATATTATAGGTTAAAGATATATATTAATCATCGTTTTTACCTGTATAAGAATGAGTTTTTGTGGATCGAATCAGTCAATCAAATGGTTTACCCTTGTTTCACTTTCAATATTGACATTTTTTTTCCTTTTAATAACTGAACACGCATAATTCATGCGTAATCCAGCTCTAGCTAAGGGGTTAAATTGAGGGTCACATGAATACGGATTCAATGAGATCGAATTATTCACATAGCTTATTTTGACAAAATTGAACCAAACTGGCTATTAAAAGCGATATATTATTTCACTATTTCACTTTCATTAAAGATTGAACAAAAACAATCATATTTTTTTTCTATATCTCGTAGCTAATGCCCATTTAAAACCGATTAAAAAAAATAGGAGTATTATTGTTAATCGCTAAAACAAGTAAAAACAAGAATTTTAGACACTTCTGTGTGATGTTTCGCAGAAAGAGTTTTGTTTGAATTTTATTTCCGATTGACCGATTAGTTTATTCACTGTGAAATTACTTTTACATCGCATCTTTCTAGAAGAATAGTCTTTGACCGGCTGATACAGACCTAATATTCGGAATGCCTCTACCGCTGCTGGTAGACTATCAGTTCCCGAGGGTATTATCAGATCAGAAGTCAGTACGTGTGCACTGACATGATTTAAAGCAAATCTTTCTTAAATTGTCCGTTAATGAATTAAGAAATTATAAAGGTTTCAACTCCCTCAGTAGGCTTTAGATGGATTTGGCTATTGTTTATGACCATTCTGGTCATATAGCTCTTCAACTGTGTCGGTTCTTATACATCCTTGGCTTTACAATATTCGGTTTTGGTTGTTCCTGTTGAAAGTAGATTCAGAAAAGCGCTTTAGCCTGTATTTTTTTCTCTAGGTCTATTAGTTAAATAAAACTAATCTAGCCTCTAGTAAGCGACTTAGGTAAGATCTTATGGAAACAAGGAAATTCCTTAACATCAATGATGTTGCTGTTAAGAAATCGATTAGAGGCCACAGTTGTTAACCGATGTTCAAATCTTATCAATCCAATAAAAAGATACAAATGAAGGTAAAAACGAAAAAATGAGAGAACCGCGTGAACTAAAACCGGTTGCGCAAGTGTCTCCTGGTATGCATGTATAATAAACAAACAAAAAAAGAAAATGTAATTTATGATAAATAATGTATTGTCAATTTTCTTATTAATTGATTTTATAATATTTGTAGTAATTGATGTATATCATCTAGGATATTGGTGGACACATATTATTTTCAATAATATCATGCAATTGTTGTTTCATTAAAGTTGTATCATCTTTAAAATTTAAAGTATCTTATTTCGAATTGAGTGCGAGTTAAGTGTAAAAATGACGTATGTATATTTAGAAGTTTGATTAAACAAAAACTAAAACAAACTCCAATAAAACAAGATCCTGAAATCAGATACTTAACGTCTATCTCAAGACCACGGTAACAACACTATTGCGTATAAATCATACAACTGCGACAGACAAATTAACATTCACAGAAGAATTTTTTATACAATATTTATTAAAAAGAAAGTTTGATTTAAAAAAAAAGAAGCAACGGAAAACGAGTGTCATCTTCAGTTTCTAAAGATTTTACAAAAAATCTACTAATTAAAGCTGAAAAAGAACCCCAATTCTAATATATTTTTTAAATGTTTTTATATATACATATAATATATATATATGTAGGTTCACGATCAATTTGGACTTCAGTAACAGCTTTTTTTCTCAATTGATATCAATAAACTACATAGTCACATGTTCTCTGTCACTTTAATATGTTTAGAAAACAATTTGACGCAGGATTGAACTAATTTGTTCCCAGTCTGAATACATTATACATAATGAAAAGTGGATTTATTCTTGATCATACTTCAAAAGTCTTTAATTCAGATCAGAATCCTCTGCTGTCTAAACTCTTTCCTATTTATATTTCTGTTAGCTCTTTTGTCTTAACGTTTTTTTTTTCTTTTCTATTAATCTTCATGCCAATCACATGAATATACAAATGACCTGTTTACACATGAATCGTCGTCATCTGTTGTTGATATGTACGATTGTGTAACCATGTTAGTTGTAGGATCACATTCACTGAAGGTAACATCAAAACTGCACCCGACTGAAAACATATATGTCAATGTTTTCTTTGTTCTTAAAATACAAAACAAAAGTTTACAAAAGGGGTTCTTAAATGCCTGTGCCAAGTCAGAAATACGACAGTTGTTTCCATTCGTTAGATGTGTTTGAGCTTTTTATTTTGCTATTTGATAAGGGACTTTCCTATCTGATTTTTCCTTGTAGATCGGTATTTTTGTTATTTTACTTTTTTTAATATAGGTATCTATCCGTGTATGCAACGGATACCAAAAAATAAGAGAAAGTGTTGCTGATTAAGATGTATTCTGACAACTTTTTCAAATTCGGTATGTGAAGTATTTCTTTTTCATGAATGATAACAATGCTGGAAATCAATAAAAATGGAATATCCAGTATGGCTCCACCTAAGAATCATGCAGAGTGTGATACAGTGATAGTTGTAAAATTTGCTTTTTTGGGCTTCTATTTTCTATTTTGATTGAAAACTAAAAAAAATAACAGAAACACATGTGTTGTACATTCGGTTGCTATGGTTACACTGGCACCATAACAACCCTTTAATTTCAGTCCTAAAACCTCAAAATTTTCTGTTTTTCATCACAAATGTTTTTATAAACTGCTAATTAATTTCGATATAATAAATACATATTATCATAGTTACACATTTGTTCTAAAACTTAAAGTTGATAAACAGAAGTTGCAACTATTTCAACTCCTGTTTCCATGGCAACCAATTGTTGCAGTTTTACATTATCTGAAAAGGAGGGAAAATAACGTTTTTCAAATTCTTTTTTCTTCCATGAACAGGGTCCTATGAATAAACTGTTTGTTTGCATTTGTTCATTGGACCTTTGTCTATAACATGTCAAAAATAATCGTTTGTAGCATTTTGTACAAATATAAATTAGATTTTCTGGAAAAAACAGTTTTTTTTGTCTCATTTTTTTTTTTGCTGAAAATTTTTTTTTACAGTAAGCTAAATTATTTTCATGTTTTTTTACCACAGTTCATTTGATTATGTCTTTTTAACTTTGATCATACCTAAACATTATAACAAAGTAAAGAAAACAGGTACTTAGTCAACTTTATTCTCAAATAAAACTACCAGTTTCTATGGAAACAGAACACACCGATTTTGAGAAATACACATTTTTTATAAATGTATGCTTTATAATGATAAAATATTTAATCATGCATTTTATTTCTGTATTTTTTTTCCATCAAGTATCATCAATTTATTCAAAATAAAGAAATTAAGTTGAAAAGTAAATTTGGTTGCCATGGAGACAAATGCCTAGTTTTTTTAAACGTTCATTTCAAATAACCTTAACAATAGTTGTTCGAACTATCATTTTCTGAACCAAATCATTAATAGAGCATAAATATTAATTATTGACTCTGTACTTTCAAATAACTCTTTGAATATATTTGTCAACCCCTCTCCCCCCCCCACCTTTTATGGATGTCAACTTTGTTACTAATGCTTATACAACTGCATACCAATTAACATTGGCCTACCACTAATGGTTCCCCTTGAACTGACCTAATCACAAACTTATACATGTAAACTTGGCAAAAGTTTCAAAGTCAATAGACCATGACTGAGGAGGCGGGGCCAAATTATCTCCATGGAAATGGGATATGCCAATGCTTATACAACTGCATATCAAATATTATTGACTTATCACTACCCATAAACTGACCTAATCACAAAGTTATACCTGTAAACTAAGCAAAGTTTCAAAGTCAATAGACCATAACTGAGGGGGCGGGGCCAAATAATCTCAATTGTAATGAGATGTGCCAATGATAATACAACTGCATACCAGATATCATTGACCTACCACTAGTGGTTCACCATAAACTAGACCTAATCACAAACTAACACATTGTTGAAGCCGCCGCCGACAACAGCATATCTATGTCTCGCTTTTTGACTCCGTCAAGGCGAGACAAAAACTGACTCAATGGTGAAACGCTAAATGTTCAACGTTTATGTCATGCACTGAAAATGTTTTACTACACGTATCTCATAAACTAAAAATTTTTTAAAGATCCATGACAATGAGGTCAAGATCAGATAAATCTTGTCAGACAGACATGTACACCTTACAATTATTCAGAACATGAAAAATAGTTATTTTTTGCTTTGGTTATAGCTTATGGTAATTGAAAAACAGACCAAAACACAAAACTTAACATTGACCAATGAATCATGAAAATGAGGTCGAGATCAGATCAAACCTACAAGACTGACATGTACCCCTTACAATCATACCATACAACACAAATAGTTGGCCTACTGCTTATAGTATCTGAGAAAGGACCTAATCACGTAACTTAAACCTTGATCACTGATCCATGAAATGAGGTCGAGGTCATGTGAACCCTCTCTGAAAGACATGTAGGCATTACAAGGAACCCATATATAAAAAATCCTATTACTCATAATAAGTGAGAAATTCACATGACAAAAGGAAACTTCGTAACATAAGGTATCTGCATACAAGGTGTGGAGCATCCACGTCTTCTCCCTTCTGAAATATAAAGCTTTATACAAATAGTTCACACAGCTGCAGCTAGATAGTAATCACTAAGTCTCGCATACTGCGACTTTTTTCTCTGGCAAGAAAAAAATCAGTTAAAAACATGATTTTCTCTATAATTCTATGAAAATTTATTTTATTCCAAATAATCAAATAAAAGTCATTATCTTTGAAGATGCAGACACACACATGCCAGTTCAGTCCCTTCTAACCAAACCACTTTCATTGCTTTTCCCTGAAGGATTAGGGCAAAAACTTCATGGCCCAGTCGATAATGATCAAAACTTCTCCAGACTTTAATTCATCCAAAAGGGTAGTACCTCCTCGGTTTCGGTTAAAACATCTAATAACATGTGCCGCCAAGACATTATATGTGACTCTGACAGCTCTATGTCTCTTTTAAGTAGCTCATTATGTAGTTTTTCGGGAAAATCTGCAAAACAGAAATGAAAATATTGAAATACAAATGTATAAGCGCCAATTCAGTGGTACATGTATGATCATGATTTGAAAAATTTTATAAGCATGAAAACCATAGAAATCAAATGCCCTAAAAGATAAAAACAAGGCCAACTCCAGCAAATTTATACAAAGTTTAGTTCTCTTTTAACTACATTTATCATGTTCATGAAAATTGTATTTTCAAGAATTCATTTTGGCCAGACTGCAAACTGATTTTAAAAGATGATTAAGGAATGATCAGAATTTTTTTTTCTATTATGGAGAAACTACTCGATGTCGTACTTGTAGTACACATTGAGTAACTTGGAATCAGGTTATGTACAAGTGTGTACAACAAAATTCAATTCAAATAAACCGAGAGAGAAAAAAATAACCACAATTTCTATACTTTATTTAAAACATGGTTTTAATACTTAAAATCGCCTGTTTACTCAACAAGCATGTGATGTAAAAACAACTGTCAAATTTTGTTAATTGAAGAAAAAATTAAAAAAAAAATTGAAGTACAAATCTTGCTACATTATATTTTTGCATCAAAATGAGTGTTGCTCTGGGAGAGGAAAAAAATGAAAAGTGAAAGTAGAAATTTATAAATAGATTTGATAAATATAGAAAACTTAAGTTTGCTACATTGTAAATAGTCAACTTATTTTTCTATATTTATCTGATCCAAGTTTAATAAAATTGCGGACTCTTTGAAGTGTTGTTGTCATATGTATCAGTATTTTAAGTTTTGCAATACAATAGTTTGCATTTATTGACAACACTGGGTACCAAGGTATCCACTTCCATGAGACTCTATCGAAAGTTACAAGTGCATTGATTTACCATATGTGATATAGAGTTACAATTGAAATTGGTCAAGTTAAAAGTTTCATATCAATAAAATTGAACTTTTAAAGCCCATTTGTAATCTAATGTCATGAATGTACTTCAATGTGTTTAGAAATTGTACACAGGAGAACAAAAGTGGCACAGTCCACTAACATTTCCCGATTGGTTTTGACAACTAAAATTCTCCAATATAGGAATATCTTTGAAATATTGATTTTTCTATTGACAAATTACCTTGTATATCACCTTCTCCATAACTTAATGTTTACTCTGGTAACTTTAAATAGTACTGGTAGCAGATACCTTTAAAAAAAGTCAATATTTGTACTATTTTTAAATAAAGCAACACAATAAAAATGTAAAAATATAGAATAACCTTCATACATTCTCTCCGAAAATATTTTTGTTTGTATCAGGCTTAGGAATAGGAAGAAAAATTTAATACAAATGATTTATTTTTGGCCATGGTGACCGTGAGTCCAACAGTAAGAAAATGAAATTTTATTGCTATATTATTTATCATTTCAGTCCCCATGACAAAATAGAGCAAGTTTAGAATTTTCTAAACTTTGACATAAAATGATGATATTTGTACTCAATTGATGATATTGGTACAATATTTTACGATCCTGATTCATCTTTTTGAATTCACCAGTTTTGAAAATGATGAGATTAGGACTCATAGACATGCCTTAGTGAGAACCCTGCATTTGGGCATAATTTTTAAACAAAAAAATGTATTGAAATGGCTTAATTCAACATGTTCAACCGATATGGAATTTTCAATACAGACCTAAAGTCCTTAACTGAAAAAAAATAGTTTTTTTTGTACCCCAATCTTGTAAATTTCCCCACAGCATGTTTCCATTTTAAAAGTTTGGGGCAAATAGAGAAAATACAAAAAGAGGGACAGATCCCTTTATACCTTAGGAAAGATACTTCTTTACAAAAATTATTTAAAACCAGGGGCGGATCCAGCCACTTTTAAAAGGGGGGTTCTCAACCCAGGAGAAAGGGGGGTTCCAACCATATGTCCCCTTTCAAATGCATTGATCGTCCACAAAAAGGGGTGTTCCAACTCCCTGACCACCCCCCCCCCCTTTTTCCCCTCCTTGGATCCGCCACTGAAAAAATACACGTATATATTTTTTACAAGAATAATAATATTAAATTGAACAGTAAGCTTAAAAGGGCTATCTATACAGGTAATACCTCTGGTTACAATTTGTGAATAAATTGATATATGGTAGTACATTTGAATTATGTTGTACCAGCCCTAAGCTAATTAATCTTGCCCCTGTCAATAATTTTGATATGATGTTTCAGTTCAGAAATACATATTTTCTGTTAATACCTGAATACTGAGGCGGGCACATAGAAAACCCACCAGCATGACCAGTGTGCTTTTATTAAGAGTTAAGCTCAATCCAACTGAGTTTTATAGTTTGTTCTTATAATGTCCATCTGTTACACCACTGTCGGGAGTGTCCCAGGTTAGAAGGAGCATTTGGCGCCTGCAAACATGTTTAACCCCGCCACATTATGTATGTACATATGTATTGTACATGTATCTGTCTCAATTCAGGAGCCTGTAATTCAGTGGTTGTATTTTTATATTTCAAATATTTATGTTTATCTTAGTAATAATAAATCATTTAACTCAACAGGTCAACTGTCCCAACTACATGTATGGCATTCCATTTCAATTGCAACATTATAATTATAATATATATGGGGACAGGAAAATTTTAGTTTTAGGGATGGATGGGCTAGGGATAGCTGTTGAACCTTACCTCTAAGATCCTTATGAAATTTTTTGACTACTTTGCGGACCATCAGTGACCATGTAGTCAAAAATATCATAAGGACCTAAAAGTTACAGTTCCGCAGCTACATGTAGGTTAGGGATCTGGGCCCAGATCAACATGAAAGCTATTGTGACATACATGAAACACAGTGAACACTTGAACAAATACTAGATTGAGATTGCCCCCACCCCCCAAAAAAATCCTATTATAAATGTACTTGTACTTCGAATTTAATAAAAAAAAAGTAATCATGTTGATAAACCTACCACGTCCAGCTGGGAGAAATATATTGTTCTCCTCCAGGATCCTTTGGCTATGGAAACTTGAAAGGCCTCTGAATGTCTGTCTTTTGCCTTTATGGACAAGAGAAAGGATGTGAACGAGTTTTACTGTTTTAAGTAACTTTTACCCTGTCGAAACTCTATACCAAGTTTGTAACTGTGTGATGGATAAACTGTGAGTGAAATATTAGTAGTAAATATCCATACTCTGGATAACACTATAAACAGGTCTGCTTTCTTCAGTTATTATTTCATGATTGTACGCAGCGATACTTGCACATTCACACCAACAGCTAATTTCAAGTGATATTTTACATCTCTGTGACACGAACTAAGCTTAATAACAGTTGTGTCTTTAGGGTGACGTTAGTAAAGAACGCAACTAGAATTACTTTGCAGAAAGCTGCATAAACAAAATGATTACATCGTAAATTTGCCTCCACATGTAGTCAAGCAGAACCGGAAGTGATAATAGTAAACAAGATACAAGATGCACAGAAAAAAAATAATTAATTCAAATAATTAATCTATCAAATTTAACATCATGAAGAAGTGCATCTTTATCAAATTATTAATTTTTCAATACTTCTGGTTTGTGTTTTCCACAAGATACAGCATATATTATGAAATATTTTTTTCTTACTTGTTGTGAAGGTCAACAAGAGTTGTCTTTCTTGGAATAGTAAGATAAAGCGGTTAATTTAAAATGAAAATAACTTGAGATAGGTGCAAGGCTACAAATAAAAAAAATTGATATGTTGTTTGGAAGATTCTATATTTTCAATTATGCTAAATGGTTTACAACAAATAGCCTGTTCTCAGCAGATATATGTTATAACATCAATCATATTTCCAATACTTATATAGTGGGGAATTTTTATTATGGAATAATGACATTAATAGTAGGCATCAACAATTATGGTTGAATATATGTTAATTTTTACTCAACATGTATCACATAACAAAATATGAAGCACATGAGAAACATAAGGTAAATCACGTTTTCTTCATATTGCATGATTCTTAGGTGGAGCCATACTTAACTCCAAAGGTCAAATTCTTAATAATTTTATGAAATCAAAAAGCATTCTAATTACTTCAACCAATAACAAGACATGACTAAAACATCATTTTTCAAACAACGAGTTAATTTAGAGCTTGACATACTGTATAGACAACTGTCCATTGTTAAAAACTGTGTGTTGACCTGTAGACGTATTTTGTTCGTTGGATCGCATTGACATACATTGTATATTCTAAAATTAGCCTTTCAATCATAAGCATCTATATTTTGTAGTCCGGAAATCCACTTAATATGCTATTGTCAATGAGAACATGATTATAACCGGAATTACTTGATAGTTTTTGTTTTTAATTTTAATTTCGTTATGTTTTTGTTTGTTTGTTTTTATTTTCTTTCCAATTATTTTTCTGTTTCCTTTTCATTCTTGCACTCTTTTTTCTTGTTTTCCATCGTTGAATACGCTCAAACTTTGAACATGAAATAGTAATCGTTATTTTTGGTTCGCATTCTTCTTCTCAGTCCCCTTAATCATGTTAATGTCATAACTCTGGTTACTGTATTTGTTGTGTTATCATATTCACTCCAGTTTTCCTTGTCGTAATTCCATTCTGGAGTAAAATGTAATAGAATTAAAACAACGAATCAACATAATTGAAAAAAAAACCCCAGTAATTTGAGCATCAAAAATTGAGCATAATTATAGTATATTTGTGTTAAAGAAATCTAAAGAACATTCTACCTTCTCCACAATAATAACAACCCTCTTCCAAAAATGGTGTTTTGTCCATGCATACATCACGTGTTTCTGAAAAAAAAATCCATTAGGTCCGCTTGTGAATATTCGAATATCGAATTTATTAGTGTACATTTAACCTTTAGTTGTATTTGAAGCTTTTAACTGTATGGTTAAACAGGTGATAGCAGAGCATCAACATTCTAGATTATTAATACCGAATGAATTATCATAGTGATTTGAATTCCGAAACCAATACATTTTAAGTCTTTGTTCTTTTACCAGCTTTTTTATCACTTTTCTCTCTTTCTTCATTTGAAATTTTACTGTTTACGTTCACCTTATTTTTTTGCTTTCCATGTCTGTATTTTGTTAAATTTGCCACAAGTTTTGGTGATAATATGTGCTTGTTCTCAACCCTGTTCTTGTTTTCTAAAAGTTAAACTTCGAGTTTAACGTCCAGCTTCCGACATGGCTACGTATTTGTACATCTTACGCAGCCTATCATGTGTTTTACTGTTGGAAGGAAGAAGTAAAGAAATTAGCACTAGTATATCTTTACCCCAAGGTTGTTTATTTTAATAGTGTTGCAAATATATACGGGATCTTTTGTATAGAACTTTGTTTATCTTTAAAGAAAAACATGTTGTTTTTTTTAAACGAAATAATGTTATTCTTATATTTATTATTAAAAACAAATTTATATAATAATATGAATAAGTAAATCAAAAAATTACCTTTTTCTAAGACCAAAATAAGATTTTTTAGGAAAAGTAGATTTTTTCGCGGTTTTACTTAGACACGTGCCTTAACAATGCTTAATTTTAACGAAAACATTATATAAAAGCTGATCTAAATAGGAAGTGCTATTACCTTTAAAAAGCCTTTTTATTTTATTTCCTATCGTTCTCCTTTCCGTTCAAACCTTATTTTACTTTCCTAAATGCAGCCGTTTAAACTTATCACAAAATACAATTTGATTTGTTGTCAGCCGGTAACCTTCCTATCCAAATTTTAGAGTCAAAACACTGCTGACTGTATTTGTTATAGTGTCACGTGCACATTCACTGCAGGCACCTTTATAATACTTGCATCCAGGGGTTTCCCTGTATCAATTTTCTTTTTGAAGAATCAAGCAAAAGGCTATATGTAAACAAAATCATTGGGGATGTTTATTTTAGATACATATTTTGATTCTTAATTCCTTAAGATAAATTTTATTTCAGAAAAGAAGTAAAAATTCAATTTGTTTCCATTTAAAATAAGGGGTTGCATAAATTCTACATTGAGTTTCTAAAAAAAGAAATACTTGTTCATGTATGTTATTGAATAACAATTGATACTTTTCTTACAATTTTGTTTTCAGTCAAAAAGTGTGTCCCCCCCACCAAAGAAAGATAAATGATCGGTGCCTAATGAAAACTGTTCTCCTGATTTGAAGTACTTTCTGAGAGTTCTAAGGATGTCATAATTGTGTATTAAAAAAAGGATTGAAATGTTTAATCAATGCAAGATTACTGCATTTTGAAAACTTTTATGTCTTCCAAAATTGACTGTTTCCTGCACATACTATGACAATGGTTCTGATCATGCTTCTGCTAAAATATATTCATAAATCCCATGGGTTTACTTAAGTATAGAAATGTGTTAATCCCTAGTCTTCTTAAGACCTACATTAAAACCCTTTGGCTGTGCGGGATGTATAAATGTACAGTTACCTCTTGCAGAAAGAGTGCCACGATCCCTGCAGTTGAGAACCGTTTCAACAACTATTTGAGGGATTCATAGGTAGCATGTTGCAACGCTTAATTTCTGTCCCTATCCAATGTACCCTTATTTTCTAGCGACATTCTTCCTTAATCACGGTCGATACCTTATTGCAGAACTTACCTGTTGTATTTATTGTTTATTCGTTCTCGTCCTGAACATGAATGACACATTTGTCACTTGACGTAAAGCAGACAAAAATCAATCAAGAAAACAACCATCAATGTATTAATGTTTCTGGATGAATCCACTCAAAAGGGGAAGACAATTCCAAGTGTATGATGATTGTGTTGAGTCTGAAAAGGCTATTTAATCGTTTTTAATAACTGAGCAATATTTTTATATTTTGGACAAAAACATTGAAATTTAAATTAATTCTTAATATTATTATCATCATTGCTATTAAATAAATGTTTCTTCCTTAAATATTCATAATAACATTCATTTTCTAAATATCTAGTTTGATGTAAACTTAACTTAAACAATGCCTACATTGACTATCAACTGCATGTAATCAAAACCTGATTTAAACATCATGTAAACATTGCTTTTTGTGTGAACATGGTCTACTTTTTAATATGAATGATTTTTATATCTTTAAATAAACCTACTTAAATCTAATTGTGTTTCGTAATTTGTGTTGCGATTACGTGGTGTTGAAAAGGTATGAATTGTAATGCATAACTTAGAAATAGTTCAGTTAAAAACACACATAATGTTCCTTCATCCAAGCATATCTTGGATGTGCAGGATGAAGGTCATTCTTAGAATATGAGCCTGAGGCTCGAAAGTAATGAATTAGCTTAACTTCTCTATGAGGGGTGAAGCTTACATGTAATATCTCTGTTTAAAGAAACAAACTATAACCTCCAGACCATAGCTGGCCAGTGACCTTGACCCTAGTATATAAGCACCTGTTCCATAATAACTTGTCATAATTTAAAGTAAGTTTGTGTCGACCATAAAACCCATAAGAAAAGGGTGGGTCTGACTGATAATCCCTAGGGTGGGAACTAATTACTTTCGAGCCTCAGGCTCATATTCTAAGAATGACCTTCATCCTGCACATCCAAGATATGCTTGGATGAAGGAACATTCTTATTCATATTTCGCCTTTCGGTCTCAAGTAATGAATTAGCTTGTTTAAAGTGTAGACACAAACTAAAAACAATTTATTACACAAATGCCACATTTAATAAAGCATAAAATATCACAAGATCATCCAGTAATTACAACTGAAGAAAAGTCTTTAGTACTGATATTATTCACTTCCCTGTAGAACTTATAAAAAGTTTTTACACATGTCCAGTAAGCTGTTGCCATAATGTCTTTAAAAGAACATCCTGAAGCTAAAGGCGCTTATGAAGAGGCCCCTCTAAACGAGTGAGCCTTATGATATCTGCTAAAATTAGAACTCTCTTTAACCATCTAGATAAGGTAGAAGTTGAAACTTTACGAAAAGTTGCAAAAGAAATAAACAGACTTAGATGTCTTCCTCACATCTTTTGTACGCAAAACATAATAAATCATTGTCTTAACAACACAAAGTTCTGGGTTATCAAAAAACTTGAACACCACATTAGGTAGACTAACACCAGATTTAGTAGTTTTTAAAAGCTCCTGTATATGAAAAACTATAGTGCTTTGTCTTTGAATAAAAGACATATAATGTAAATCTAGAACTGATAAAGATTGTACTCTGGCAGCTGTAGTCAAGGCAACTAAAGACACAAGTATAAAAGTCATTCTTCAATGTTAAATCCTCCAATGGATATAAAGAACTTAAAAAAGTTAGCACTAAATTCACCTCCCAAGTGAAAAAGTATCTAACTCTTCAATTGCGGATTCAGGTTTAAGCAACCTTTTAACATATGGTAAACAAAAGCAAATTTAGTAACATCTACTTCAAAAAGGATAAAGTCTGTTTCAACATAGACCA